TTTCTTTTTCTTTGACTCATTGTAGATAGTTACTCATGTTTTGCCCTCTTTCCCTGAACAAGTGGGTTTCATCCCACGAAACGCGTTGGAATCTATAACACAAAGCTTTTCTCATGGTTTCAAGTGGATGCTATATTACCATTTTCATCAACACCTATTATATATCCTATGGTTTGGTGTTTTCTGTCTATACAGTTGTGTCCAAAATTATTTCAACCCCCACTGAAATTGAGTGTTTTGGCCAGTTTGACATTGCTTTTGATCATTCAGTCATCTTGCTTTTTCATGAGTTGTAGGTCAGACAAATATAACATAACAGTTATAATGAAATAACCACAAATGTCTTTTCTGTGCTCACAGCATTCAGTTTTATTCAACCCCCAAGTGACATTCAATCTTAGTACTTAGTACAGCATCCTTTTACAGTTATAACAGCTTTTAAACGTGAAGCATAGCTTGACCAAGTGTCTTGTGAATCTTCGCCCATTTACGTCATGGGCAAAGGCCTCCAGTTCAGTCACATTCTTAGGCTATGCAACTGCTTTTTTAAGTCCCACCATTTTCTCAATCGGATTTTAAGTCTGGTGACTGCTGGCCACTATATGTTCCAGCCTTTGCAACCATGTGGATTGGAGGTTGCTTGGGATCATTGTCCTTTGAAAGGGTCCGTCCCAAGCCTCAGGTGTGTGACGGACTGCATCACGTTTCCATCCCCTGGTACCTTGACGCTGAAGCTTCCCTGTACCTGCAGAAGCAAAACAGCCCCAAAGCATGGATTGACCCTCCACCATGCTTCACAGTAGGCAAGGTGTTGATCATAAGGCCTTGTTCTTCCAAACATAGCGTTGATCCATGGGCCCAAACAGTTCTATTTGTTTCATCAGTCCACTATATCCCACAACTTTTGTGGTTTGTCCACATGGCTTTTGGCATACTGCAGTCGACTCTTCTTATTCTTTGGACTACGCCTGGGAGTTCTGGCACAGGCCTTTTACGTGTGCGTCTTATTGTCTGGGCTGAAACTTCTGTACCCACATCTGACAAATTTTTCTCAGTTCCTCACAGTCACACGGGGACTTCTCTCCACTCTACGCTTCAGGTAGCGCACAGCAGTAAGTTTTCTTTCTGCCACGACCAGGTATAACAGTAATGATGCTTCCTAAGGTGTTCTTGGTATGTTTTAACATCTTTGCAATCTTTTATAGCCATTGCCCTTCCTGTGAAGAGAAATCACCTCTTCTCTTGTCTTCCTGGACCATTCTGCCTTACCATGTTTGTAACCACACCAGTAAATGTCTAGAAGGAGCTGAGTATCACAGTCCTTTTAAAGCTGCCTAATTGGTGCTTATTATGCTTTTGCTGCTCGGTGACAGGTGTTTTCAAAACCTGATGGAAAGCACCTTTGTTTTCAAGTGGTAGTCTTTAAGGGGTAATAATTGTGGCAATGAAGAAACCACATAAGAACCATTTACTACTGTATTACATAAACAATTGATGTCATTTTAGTGCATTTGGGTAAAACGTCCTTGTAGGATTTGATTCTGAATACAATTCCAAATGTACACTATTGTCCCTAAACCCCTTTACAGCATTGGGGGTTGAATAATTTTTGGACACAACTGTATATGTATATATTTCCACTGATAACCATTTACCGATTCATATACTATCTGTACAGTTGAGTCTACCTTGCTCTAAGTTAGTGGCTGTAGTTCGCCATTGCTGATGCCCGTGATGTTGTTCTTTACGTCTTGGGCAGCGGCCGTCGTCTACTATAGCCACCCCTTGTTGATTTTAATCATATGCCTTTTGTGTCTATATCTGACTATATGCCTTTTGTGTCTATATCTGACTATATGCCATTTGTGTGTATGTCTGATTAAACTTTTTCCACAGATGGGTGGATTTTTAACCTAATAAAAGGGTTTCATTTTTATCTACTGTTTTCATGTTTAAACCTCATTTGTACTGGTACGGCATGGTACCTTTAAAGCTCCATTAGCTTTTGAGGTTAGGGTTCTTTTTTCACTAACTGTAGACTGGTCACATGTGCTACAAAGGCACTGTTATTAAATAGGGACATTGACATTGACTTAAGCTTAGAAAAATACAGTGCAAGGCCTATATCAGTATCTACAGTGTCTACACGGCAAGAGTATGTAAGTAACTGCAGTCAATTATTGCCATGTATATTGGTTTGTTTGTCATCAATTTATTTCACTTTATAGCCTAACTACAGCCATTTTTTAAAATTCTGGATAGAGTGGGTAGAATTAAGATTTCTGTCAGGTTGTTATTACTGTAGGACCCCACTGGAGAAATTTTTCATTATTTTTTTTCAATATGGTTATCAAATCTGCTTTTAATAAGTAAAACCAGCCAGACAACTGTTTTTTTTAGGAAACATGGCACTGTGCTAAAACAATACATCTGGTTAAGTTACGTTCAAAGTCTAACACCATCAAAAATGTGTATTTTATTTTGGTATGGATGCTAGCAGGTAAAGTAAATGTTAGCTTCTTGTATTCTAGAGAATTCTAAGACAAGAGGAACCTAGCTGTGAAAAAAATGACACTTTTATTATAGCCATGTGGGAAAGGTCATAGGCATATACTAATGTGGAATGTGCTGCCCAAGCCACCTCTATGAGGAATAGGAAGGAAGCCCATGGGTGCTTGTAATTTCCACATAATCCTTATAAAAACATTGGGGAGGGAATGTAATGCCTTGTCACATGATTCCATGCTGGGTAACCTCCCTCTCATGCTTCAAAGTGTGTGGCAAGGCTTCACTGGGCTCAGAAAAAAGGCAAGGGCTGGAAGAATGGGGTAGTCTGGCCTGCTGGCCTGCATTGCCACTTAGCATATGCAACTAGTTGCAACTATAGGGATGTCATAAGTTGTACAAGTTCAGTGTCAGGATGCAGATGACAGTCACTTATTCAAATGATATTAAACCATCAGTTTTTAAGCACTTTGAGCAGCTGATTTAGTTACTTCTAAAGTATACAGCTTCTAATCTTTTTGCCTATGTTCCAGTTACAGCCGGTGCTATGAATGCTGACCCAGGTTTCTTGTTTCAGGGTCTCTTCCCTTTGCAGCATCCTATGGAGCCACCTTTGCATGTGAAGACTAGAGTTGTGTCTTTCTACACTGTGTGCATCAATAGAAACACACTGCCCCATAGCCTAAGATGGCAATTTGCATCCCTGCTCCCATTCTCTGTTATCCAAACTAGAAGACTGACTGGAAAATGCACTGTCCACTGTTAATTATTTCCTGTGAAGAGCAGAGGTTCAGGGAAGCAGTACTGAGACAGCAGGCACAAACAGAATTGAGTGTTTTAAACTGCAAATACTGTGGTAAGAATTTTAACAAATACTTTACTAGGGAACATTTATTTGATGGTGGTGTGTTAAGCTATAAAACATTGAGAGTTTAATATTACTTTAACTAGCCTGTTGTATATGATTGTTACATTAATTTAAATACAGCATTGTTATTTATTTATTTATTTAACTTTAATTATTTTCTACAGTCTTTTCCAGAATATGATTCCAGAATGACGCAATATTTTTAAAATAATAGCAAAAAATATTTCATCACCTATGCTCTGTAACAGTAATGTGCAGTATATGACATTGCTAAACACATGCATTGTATAAGATCAAACAGTTGCATACTGTGTATCATATAGAACATTGTATTTATATAGAAAACCTTGTTTTGTTTCTAAGTGTCTTATAAAACTGGCAGCTCCATATTACACACAGTGTATCTTTCAGGTTGTTGCACAGTAAATCTCAGGCATGCCTGAACATGCAATATAATGAAGGAATGAGAGCTGAAGCCTTACAAATACCAGACCTGGGTGCAGATTACACTGTCGCCATAGCAAATTCTGTACACCATCTCTGCTAATCTAATCATTGCTTGCCAATGCAAGATCATTGGTGACAGCTTGGCAATCTGCCAAATAGAGCAACATCATAGTGCTGTAAAACAGATTAAATAATGTAGAAATCACTTTTGTTTTCCAAATTTGTGTTGGCACTTTGAAATGATTTGTAACAGGTTTGTAGACTTCTATGGCTGGCCATACAGTAGATGGATCCATTTTTTTCAATCAGGCAGCCGATCGATTAAAAAAACTGAATGGATTCCCCCTTCCACACAAGCAAGGTAGATAAAGGGATCCTCCCAGCTGTGTTATTGTATTCTGACAGCGGGGACTCCTCTGCTGTCAGAATACACTGATCAGCACTGCAGTCGATTGGCTGCAGCTCTTATTGAAAAAAAAAATTCCCAGCAAGCCCTATCTCACCTAATGATTGACTTCTCATGAACAAGAATGGCCATAGATGGTGTGAAGTTTAGCTAGTCCCTGATGAACCAGCTGAAGTTTGAACCATCTATGGCCAGCGAGAGGCCAGGTTCACACTAGCCTGCACAGTAAAACACATTTTTTTACTTTGCAGGCTAGTGTCAGTGTTGGCTGTGGTAGGGAACTGTGCAACTTGTTACTTGTTTTTTGTTTGTTTTTTGTTTTGTTTTTTTAACTAGTTGCCGACCGCAGATAGCCGAATGACGGCTTCACTGCGGCCGGCCAGTTCTGGGTGGATGTCATATGACGTCCCCCCAGAACGCACTCTCCTGCGCCCCCCAGGGGGCGTGCACCCGGCGATCTCCGTGATCGCTGTGTCCTACGGACACAGCTGATCACGTGATGTGGTAAAAGGCCGATCCCAGCGGCCTTTTACCACGTGATCAGCGGTGTCCAATGACACGCTGATCACAGGGAAATGCAAGTGCCGGTTCTCGGCTGCACTTTACTCACGCTGTCAGATCGTGAGGAAAGTGCTGCCGAGAACCGGCAGTTGTCACAGCGGGGATCGGCACCGATCATCAGGACACTGATGATCAGTGCCCTGATGATCGGTGCCCAGCAGTGCCACCGGCAAGTTCCGCCCACCTGTGCCCAGCAGTGCGCCCACTAGCTCCGCCCACCTGTGCCCAGCAGATCACCCACCTGTGCCCAGCAGTACACCCACCTGTGCCCAGCAGTGCACCCACCTGTGCCACTCTGCAGTGTCACACACCTGTGCCCAGAAGTGCCACCTACCTGTGCCCAGAAGTGCCACCCACATGTGCCCACCCACCTGTGCCCAGCAGTGCCACCCACCTGTGCCCACCCACCTGTGCCCACCCACCAGTGCCCACCCACCAGTGCCACCCACCAGTGCCACCCACCAGTGCTGCCAGTCAGTGCCACCAGTCAGTGCCCAGGGGTTGTGCCAGTCAGTGCCGCCAGTCAGTGCCCAGCAGTGATGCCAGTCAGTGCCGTCTATCAGTACCCATCATCAGTGTCACCTATCAGTGCCGCCTATCAGTGCTGCATATTAGTGCCGCCTATCTGTGACACCTCATTAGTGCTGTCTATCAGTGCCGCCTATCCGTGCCACCTCATTAGTACTGCCTATCAGTGTCCTTTAGTGCTGCCTATCAGTGCCCATCAGTGCCGCCTATCAGTGCCCATCAGTGCTGCCTCATCAACGCACATCAGTGAAGGAGAAAAAATACCTGTTTGAAAAATTTTATAATAGAAACAAAGAAAAAATTTTTTTTTTCAAATTTTTTGCAATTTTTTTATTTATAGCGCAAAAAGTAAAGCGCCCAGTGGCGATTAAATACCACCAAAAGAAAGCTCTATTTGTGAGAAAAAAATTATCAAAATTTCATATGGGTACAATGTTGCATGATCGCGCAATTGTCAATCAAAGTGCGGCAGCGCTGAAAGCTGAAAATTGGCCTGGTAAGGAAGGGGATATAAGTGCCTGGTAGGCAAGTGGTTAAGTAGTGACACTTCATTCATGTTAATGTACTGCAGTGCTGTGCGTTGTGCTGCTATGTGGTGACAAATGGTGTCATCCAGTACACTGCTGAAAAATGCAAACATGCTACATTTTTCTGCACTACTCTACAACAGCAAATCACACCAGCATTGAAAACAATTGATTTTGTGACTTGTGTTTATTCAAAACGGAAAAACTCAGGTTGCAGCAGATAGTGTGAACGAGCCTAAAATGCCTGAATATGTAACAGAAAGCCTCATTAAGTTCACTGTACTGTTCTATGGCTGGCCAATGCAAATAATAATTCTATATGACTGCACCAAAAATGAAGTAACCATTAAATTGAAACATTAATCCAAACACTGATGCACTTGGCAAAGACATATTACTTTAATTAATTAATTGCTTCATGTCCAAGCATTCCTTCTTGTACAGAATATATTTTTATTCAGAAAGTTTGATCTGGAGGACTGTAGTGCTTGGCTCTTCTTAATTCTTGATTTACAGTTGCCTGGCACTGTTCATCCTAAATTCATTTGCAGTGACCCCAGGGAAACTCATCATATATATGCAATTTAAGTCTGCTGAATGTATTAGTGAATTAGTACTCACTTACACACAATTAAAAAGAAAGACAGGTCCGTGGTTATGAGGGGGATTACATAAGCACAGGGTCTATGAGACTGGGTGGAAGGAGAACCACACAATCTGCAGTCATCTCTCCCTCCCACCCTCCCAGGAGTGAGCATTGCTCCATCCTAACCTATTTAGAGACTCTGGTCAGTCTGGATTTACATCATAGGAGATATTGGTGGTTTGAAGTCCTTGTGATGGAGGTGGTATAAATCTGATATTTTTGGCAAAAAAGTAGGGGACCCATCTTTAGGGTGTATTGTCCTCCATTTAGCCTAGTCAACTCATGGTTGTAGACCAGTACATGTCTGAGATTAGTTGAATTAGCCCTTCAAGTGGTCAAAGACTTGCAATCTTATTTCATTTGTCAAGTTTTTTTTTTATTATTATTTAAATTGTTGTGTGTTATTTATAATAAAAGGCTTTTACGGCCATTCTAACTCCACTCTAAAGTAGTGAGTCTTCTTTTGAGGGGGAGCTTTAAGAAGGTGGTCTGATTAGAGTTATAAGGAAGGTGACCTCTGATCTACCCTGGCCATGAAAAATAACAATTAGGTAAGAGAATGTTGATGACCATGATAGCAAGACTGTTCTGTAAATTCTCAGTAACTGACTCCACTCTTCCCTGTAACATTAAGCCACTTTGCATGCATGCAATCCAAACTTGCCTCTCTGTAACCATCGGTAACTGACTCCACTCTACTACTACTGCTACTTTCACACTGAAAAGTTTTTGAAGTGTTTTTGCATTAAAAAAAGCACCTGAAATGCTCAAGAAAACCACTTCTCTATGTATGTGAATGTATATCTATGTATGTTTTCACACTGAAGCATTGAGCTTGCAGTGCAGTATAAAAAATTCTGCTTGCAGCATCTTTGAGGCATGTTTTGTGAGTTAAAGAAAACGCCCCAAAAACACCTCTTCCCATTGAAAACAATGGAAAACGCCTGAAAACAGACTCAAAAATGCCTAAAAAATGCCTCTGAGAAGAGTTTTTGGTGCAGTTTTTAAGTCACATGTCCTTTAAAATTACGGCAAAAGCGTGGTAAAAACGTATGTGCGATTTTGCTATGTTTTTGTGGCAGATCAGTGTGAAAGTAGCCTTAGCAAGGTGGATTTCAAACTGCTGTTTACCCTTGTTTGTATTGAGTTAAACTAACTTTTCATGGTGCCTTGACCAAGATCAAACACCTATCCTTACCTTGCTGTCTCCTTCCTGCTTTGCAATCTGTTAGGGCAGAAAACCTTCACTTCCACGATGTGTCTGTTTTATTAGCTCTTAATTGATTAATTGTTTAACTTCCCCACACCTCATACCAGTATAAATTTAGTTCAGCTCTTAGGATGGCTTGCAAGGTTAGGCTTGCCACTTCGTGTGCAAAGTGCCATTACTTTGCTTAGTGCCTGGCACTTTTAACAAGACAATTCTACAAAAGCAAGTACAAACATTAGTGCTGGAAGTTCCCCCTAATTTTTTCTCTCTCCCTTAGCCACCTTTTTCCTCTTTTTCCATCCTCCAACATGTTCATACTAATCTCCTTCTTTGCAATAACTCCCTCTCTCCTCAAACTGTCATTTCTTTACCCCCCTCTCCACCCCCAACCTGTACATATCTTCCTCACCTTTGCCCTCTCATTATTACTGCACTTACCTCCCCCTGCTCTTTCTGAGTCCACTCAATGCCACCATTTCCAATTCACTTCAACACCTGCCCTCGTATACATCCTGCTCACACCTTATCGCCCTCACCCCCCTAGTACTCCTAACTTCTAGGGATATCACCCCAAACCCTGGCCCTCCACCAGCAAATTCGCACCCCAGAATTGGCAGTCTTCCTTCTCTGGCAACAGCTATAACCCTCACTCTCAGTCCTCCCCCACGTGTGCCTTCTGGAATGCTTGCTCAGTTTTTTACCAACTTGCTTCTGTTAATCACCCTTTTCTCTCCAACTCCCTCAATCTACTTGCTATTACCAAAACCTGGCTCCAGGAATACAACACTGCCTCTCCAGCTGCCCTCTCCCATGGTGGCCTCCTCTGGAATCACTCACCCAGACCCAGGGGATGAAAAGGAGGTGGAGTTGGACTTCTCTCCCTCCAATAGCTTCTAGGTTCTTCCTACACCTCCCTCTCGTTCCCTCTGTTCTTTTGAAGTGCACTGTATTCATCTTTTTTCTCCAGTTTGTCTGAGGATTTCAGTAATTTACCAGCCTCCCAGCCCTGTGTCATGCTTACTCAAAGAATTTCACTGCATGACTACCCCAACTTCCTCTCCTCTGAAGTACCCGCCATCATCCTCAGCGACTTTAACATTCCAATCAATGTTAACACTGCCAATGTCAATGTCAGCCACTTCTCAACTACTCAACTTACTCTCCTGTTTTAACCTAACAAAATGGACACAAACCACCATTCCCTCCAATGGCAACACCCTCGACCTTGTATTCTCTGCACTCCTTGGCCACTTTTGCCTACAGCAACATACTGTCATCCTCCCTGGATTCCCTTACTCTTTTCTCTACACGCAGAACCAGGCTTTGCCTGCTACAACCCTGACAAACAGATGACACCAGAAGTCTTAAGAGACTCAGCCATGAAAAAAGAAAAGAAGGTGCTACTACCTATCCAATGCTCATCCCAGGAACTGGGCAGGTGCGTGATCCACAGTTGCTTATCCATTCCAGAATTCAATTAAATCAGTCCGCACTACTCCTATTGTTCTAAAATCTTCATTTTATTAAATCGACCACAGGTACAAAGGTTGACATGTTTCGGCTTAACAAACCTTAGTCATAACTCATAGAGTGACATGGTACATAGAAAATGCATATATATGATGGATAGGACAAGGCTCCACCCATTAATTGGCCAATCAAGCACATAATGACAACAGCTGAAGTAGACAGCCCATATCATGTCCGAACCACCATAATAAGCAAACTCTGAACAAAGAAGTTCATGCATATCAATACATTTAAAGAAAAAAAAAGGAAAGTTTGACATTTTATATGTAGCTCAGAGGGCAGAGAAGGAGGGAAAAGAGAGTAACAGAAAAAGGGGCATCTGAAACTATTACCCAATATATGTGAGACCACAAAATACCAAAGGAAACTTTAATACAAATGTAGATCCAGATCCCATCTCACATTTAACCCTTGAGGGGATCTAGTATATAACTTAAAAATCCACCAAGCCTCTCTATTGAGAAGCTTCCTCTCCCTATCGCCCCCTCTAAATGAATGAGACAGCCCTCTCTATGCCTCTGAACCTAAAATCTGAGAGATCACCTCTGTGACAATTCCTAAAATGGCGGGATACATTCGAAATATGCTTGGCATAAACGTTTTTAGTGTCACAAAAGTGCTCTCCAATCCTGGTTCATAAAAAACGTGTGGTACATCCTACATACTGTAATTTCCAAGAGATACACGTGATCAGATAAATCACAAAACTAGTGCCACAATTGAGATATCATTGTATGGGAAACTCTTCCCCAGATGTCAGAGAAGAGAAGGATTTCCCTATTACACTTAAATGAAAATATCTGCAAGTTTTCTTACAAGGATAATTGCCTGTGTAAGTTAGCAAGGTGGGTTGATGCCTCTTAGAGGAAGAAAGAAAAAGATTGGGTGACAAATGAATGCCTAGGGTAGGTGCCCATCGGCTAGAAAAACGACAACCTTTTTGTACTACTGTATGCAAACTTTTATATGCATGTAGAATGGGAAAGTTTTTTTTTTTTAATTTTTATTATTCGATGATATTCTTTTGAATTAGTGGTGACAAAAGTAACCGGACCATTATTACCACAGTGTCACTTCTGTTTTACAGTATCAATCAAAAGGTCCTTTCTGTTCCTA